TGTGCTTCTCAGAAATACCTAGAGATTAAAAAAAAAGAGATGTCAAGATATTTTCAGATTAGTAAATGGTCACAGGCTAACCTAAAAGATAGAATTCCTAACGCTTCAGCAATGCCAAGGTCTTGGGCCCTTATGTTGAACCTAATTCCTGAAAAGATTTCACAAATATTTTTTGTGTAGAGGTCTGCTTAGTTTCAAGAATATACAGAGGCTGTAACTTTAATCAAGTGGATCAAATGATTCTACACTTAAGAAGAAAGAACATTCATCTTTTACTGAGACTGCTCAGGATACAAGTGGGAAAAAAAAAGAACCAAAATTAGTTGTACTTGGGCTGGCCCCGTGGCTTAGCGGTTAAGTGCGTGTGCTCCGATGCTGGCGGCCCGGGGTTCGAATCCTGGGCGCGCACCGACGCACTGCTTCTCTGGCCATGCTGAGGCTGCATCCCACATACAGCAACTAGAAGAATGTGCAACTATGACATACAACTATCTACTGGGGCTTTGGGGGGAAAATAAATAAATAAAAATTATAAAAAAAAAACAAAATTAGTTGTACTCAAAATATGCTACTAGGATCATAGTGGGGACAGATAACTAAACAAATGCCAATGAAGTGTGATAAGTGCAATAAAAGAAATATTTCTTAAGGGCTATGGGAAGCACCACTGGTTGGTCAAACCAAGAAAAGCATTCTCAAGGAGGAGACATTTAAGCTGAGCTGGAGGGATAAGGAAGGCTGCCAGGCAGGGAAGGGAGGAACTAATGTCAAGGGAGATGAAACACCTGCCAAGGTGGGGAGGCAAGCTCTCAGAAGCCATCAGAAGATCCGGGAAGCTGGTGTATGAGGTGCATGTTGGGGTGCTGGAGAAAACAGGCCTGAAGAAGCAGGTTGGGATCAGACCTGCGGGCAATGCTGACCTTTGTTGTACAAGGTGAGGAGGAGCCAATCAAGATCCTTAGGACAAGAACTGACGTGGGCAGATTTGATATTTAAGAACTTACCCCGGGCAGCAGCAGCTGAAGGCTATGGTAGAAGCTAATTAGAAGACTGTTGCAATAATCTAGACAAAAGATGCCAGGGTCTGAACTAAGGCAGCAGTACTGGGTCTAGGAGCCAAGCATGAATTTGTGAGCTTTTGAAGTAATGGTAGACCTCCCCTCAAAGGCAACAATTGACTTTCAAACGACCCTCAAACCTGAGTTTTGAAGACATCTGAGGCAGATTGTTATATTTACGAGGTTATTTTTATTCAATATGTGGAAATATATCAGTCTTATTTAGCAGATATTACTTTTTAAACATGTAAAATGGGTTGTAAATGATTCTCACATTAATAATTATATGCTCTATAGCATTGCAACTAGTATATTAAATATATTGACTCACTATAGTTTGATATGTTTCTTCAACAACAATAGAATTACTCAAACTTTCTTCTTCACATATTAAGGCAATATTGCTTATAAAAGCCATATTACCCATTAATCCAACTCTGTAAAGATTTATGAAAATCCTCGTGAAAGATTTTCATGGACCTAAGTAATACATTAGACTTGGTCCTGAAAAGAGTCAACTGAATGGTGACCAGAAATACAAGATCATCATTAATGAGCAAATTTTAAGTCCAGCCAACAGGCCTCAGTTATAGCTAATTCATTCATTCACTCAGTTATTGAAGACCTGAGCACTATGACTATAAATATAAATACTATAATAGAGACTCAACTAGTTAACTCAAAAATAGAAAGAGAAAGCTCCCCGTCTCAGAGAGCTTTGGAAAGAGTGACCTGAGCCTTGATGATTATGAGTTTGTCAGTCAAATAAGAGAGGGCAAGACACGCCACACATAGGAAATGAGATGTTCAAAAGCCCACTGGCAAAAAGTCTCTTGAATAGGGCTGGCCCTGTGGCATAGCAGTTAAGTGCATGCACTCCGCTGCTGGCAGCCCGGGTTCGGATCCCGGGTGTGCACCGAGGCGCCACTCGTCAGGCCATGCTGTGGCTGCATCCCATATAAAGTGGAGGAAGATGGGCACAGATTGTTAGCCCAGGGCCAGTCTTCCCTAGCAAAAAGAGGAGGATTGCCATGGATATTAGCTCAGGGCTGATCTTCCTCACAAAAAAAAAAAAAAAAAAGTCAACTTGGGAAACTCTGAGGACTAGGATATAGGGTAAATGGGGGTCATAGCATGAGATAAAACACAAAACACTTTATGCTAAGAAGTCTTCTTTTTATCCCGAGAAGAAATAATAAAGACCTGAATCAAGGCAACTGATGCTGCAAATGGGGTGGGAGATTGGGAAACACAGTAGGAGGTAAAACCAAAGGGATGTAATGATGAAGGGTATGAGGAGAAAGGAAAGACTAGGATGATTCCAGGTTTCTGGTAGCCAGGGAAATGGTGTTGCCATAACCTGAGATAGAAAATATAGGTGGAGGGGCAAATCTGCCAGGGAAAATTATTATTATTATTATTATTATTATTTGCTTGGAAAGATTCACCCTGAGCTAACACTGTTACCAATCTTCCTCTCTTTTTTTCTTCTTTCCCTCCCCAAAGCCCTAGTACATAGCTGTATATTCTAGTTGTAGGTCTTTCTATGTGAGCTGCCGCCACAGCATGGCTACTGACAGACAAGTGGTGTGGTTCCACGCCCAGGAACCAAACCCAGGCCACTAAAGTGGAGCATGCCAAACTTTAACCACTAGGCCATCAGAACTGGTCTGAAAAATTAGTTTTTAATGCATATTAATCTGTGGTATGACATGCTGGCCACAGGTGTACGCTGCTCAGATTAAGAGAATCTACTGCAGAGAGCATAGCTGCCCAACAGTGCCAGCTGCTGTCCCTTTGGCTTCTCAGAGGCCATGCTTCTTCCCTCGGGCTGCCTACTAAAGCTAGCCCATTCCCATTCCATAGAGGACACTCCTCTAGTGGGCAGGTTTTGCTCGAGGACTCCCTATCGGCCTGCCCAAGACTTTCTCAGAACTGTGTTGCAGTCTGAGGCTCTTCCTTCCCAACCTGTCCTGCTCTCTCTCCTCTCACAAGTGTCAGACCTGCATCATGATCTGAAGGCTCTCCCTGCCTACTTCTGTTCCTTCCTTTTTGTCCTCCACAAACATTTCTCCCAATAAATCTCTTGCATGTCTAGTACCATTTTGGCATCTGCTTCTTGAAGGAGCGGACCTAACACAAGGCACTATGAAGGACATCAAGTAAGCAGTTGGAGGGACAAATTTGGGAGTCGTGCTCAGGAATCACTGACCCCTGAGTTAGGATGAACCTACTACAAGGCTGTAGATCCTGAGGCATACCCCACTATTTTATAACACATTGTTACCAGTGCAAACAGCTGGAGAGTGGCTGTTGGAAAGACGTAAGCAACATAAAATATTTGGAATAGTTAATGAGGATGAGGTTTTAGACAACTTAGATTATAACGTAGCATTAGAAAGCATAGACAGAGCAATTTTTAGTATCTACCATAGTCCTAACTTTAATCTGTGTATAACAAAGTGACATCCCATAATTCTTGGATCTTCAGGCCAGTGTTGAAATAGAAGAACTGGGCTATAGGTTTGCTCCATCCTTTTCTAGCACAAGATACTAAGTATAAAACAGTTAGGACAGGAAAAGTCAGTATCCTTCAGTACTTGAGAACTGAGTGTTCTTCTGGTTAGTGGAAGTCTTTCCAACAAAATGCCATCTGACTCTGCCCCAATAGCACACACTTAATCCCCTTAGCACTGTGCCTGTGAACATATTTTTAAAGCTTTTATTGGCTACATAGATGATTATAGGGTGTGTTTGTTCATTTTATAAAATATTTTAATACTAGTTCTGTCTCAACCTTACCTTGAACTTCTTCTATTTCCTTTGTAATTTGCCAAATTATTGTACACACAGTTGAAACCAAGCATTGTTACTAATGGTAATGATAATGATGAAACCTTATTCATAAACTGCACCGAAATTGCTTCTTCATTCAAATCATCTAAATGGCTGGATTCTCTAAGTGATTACAACTTTAAATGTTTAGGTTTGCAAAAATCGCTACAGTAAAACCGTGTGTGTTTAAGCCTCATAGCCTGCCAACACTGGGCATACACCCAGCTCTCTTGGCCTAAAGACATGCTCACCTAGGTAGAAGCCACCTGGTATGCCTAAAAAAGGAAAAAAAACAGGACTATAGTCCTTAGAAAACATCCACAGTGTGTAGATAAAGGAGAAAGAGAAAGAAAGCAGCCAAGATAATTAAATTTGTACTACACCTGTTCTACAAAAACATAGTAATAATTCTAGTGTATATCAGAGTTTATGTCTGCACTTTTTATCTCAAGACAATGAGGATAGTTATATTACGTAATCTATGCAAAGTCACACTTGATATTTAAGACGATGTAAAAACAGTGGGTCAATTTCAAAAAACTACATTAGTAGTAGAATTCAAACTTAAATTCTCCTTACACCAAGAGGTCAAATTGCATTATTTATTTGTCTCTAATTAATACATCAGAGGGACCATAAAAACGGGCTTGAAATGCTTTTATAGTTTAAAAATAATCTTTCATACAAGCATGCATAAAAACTTGTAGTTTTACATAAAACGATTTTTATCTCTCTTGCAATCTTCCTACCTGAAAAGAAATAACTTAGAAATCACAATCATGTATTTAGTATATAGCACTTGGGAAAAAAATTTATTCCACTTTTGCAGATTAAAAAAAACCTCTAAATATTTAGCAAGTCTATATATTTAACTTATTGCTGTCAAAATTATCTCTTACATATCAGGACAGTAGGTATAGAGCAGTAACATTATTAGAAATATCTACAAGTTAGCAAACATAAGCCAAAATAGAATATGCAATTGATGAAAGTCCTAGCTCTCTTTAAGACATGGGTGAACACTGCAAAGGTAAGCATTTATATTCTATTAGTTGTTTCTCTTCTTAGAATTGGCCAAATTACATAAAGAAACATAAAGTAATTTACCTTTTTGAGCTTCTTGATCCATTAAGCGATGAAATAATGGATGGCTATATATTGATGTTTTCTTGATCATTTCTTGAGAACTAGGCAAATAACACATTAAAATATCAAATGGTAATAATTAATTCAAAATGGGTGTTAAGTCGTTTTATCTTTACCGAATAAAGCTTAACATAAAATATAGCAGAGAAAGTTATATTAAAATAGCATATATTACTAAACCATGATTTAAGAATGACCATCAAAACATAATCTATCTAGTACCAATCAAAATTCAAACAAAGCCTTCAGAGTCAAAAATTTTAGAAGTTACTGGAGAAAGAAAACACGTTCTTCACCAGAGACTACCTCAGCTATCACTAAGAAAGCATCACCTTTATATTGACTAGTCAGATAGCAACCCTAACATTTAAGAGGCAATTAAAACTCTGGAGAAACTGGGTTTTGTTCAATGTAGTGAAAATCATAGTATTAATCTGAAATAAAGCTTCCCATAGCAATAGATGTGAAGTTCACTTGTTCCAGTCAATGCATCATTCACACGTCCCCAGTGTCAAATCGTCCAGCTACCAAATGGTCTTTTGAGTAGCTTCCACTTTAAAGAATCCATACCATCTTGGCAAACATATTTAAAATTGAAGAAATTAAAGTATTTTATGCCTCTCAAATAGAACACATTATGCGAATAAGCTTAAACAAGCTGCTATTCCAACTCTGGAAAACAACGATTTGATGTTTTACATTTCAGTTTGGGGTCATATAATAAATAATCACTATACTACCATGAATTTATATAGCACTCCTTTATTCCAAGGATCCCAAAACACTTTCCACAACCACATTTTTCTTTACAGTATGCCTCAGTAAGTTAGAAGACAAATCATTTCCCCTACAGTTTACAAACAAGGAAAATCAAAGGTTAAATTATGCCCTGAGGTCACACGGCTAAGCAATAGCAAAAGTGGTCACATGTTATGTTCCCAATTTAGCTTCTCTTCCATTAAAGAAAGCAATCTTTATTATACACGTCTGCCTGAAGGTCAACATTTATTAAATGTTAAGTCTGGACATACCTAAATGAGTTAGCTGAGTTTCTAGAAGGTTAAAAAGTATCATCCACAACTTTTGTTCTGCTGCTGAGACCTCTGATAGCGCCCGAAAGGTGAGCACCAAAGCACGCAGTTGACTACTGTACACACTGGCAGCAAGTCCTCGCAGAGGATTAGGATCCTAACAGCTGCAGCTCCGGAGCCCCTGGTTATATTTCATTGGAACGCCCGTAAATGAGGGGGCTGAAGAACAGCAGACTATTCCATGTGAGTGTCTCACGAACAGAGACGGAGGCGATGGGTGAACCTAAACCACTCCTGCAAGTGAGTGAAGACTATTTGGGCAAAGCGATTCATTTTTTAACTTCAATGCCAAGAGTTATTTAAGACTCCACAGCTAGGACGTCCCACGACACGGGGGTCATGTATTTTTTCATGTCACCTGTCTGGGTGTGAAACATCATTTTTAGAATCAGACAACCACACCAGCATGTTTGTGAATGTGTGCAGCAGTGCTGTGGAAGCAGGAATCAAATTACCAGGATTCCTTCCTACTCAGACTGAACAGGAAGGCTGAGGGTAACTGTCACCTGCACACACGCATGCCGGGCTGCATTTCAGAGAACGTATAAACTCCGCTGGTCACTGAAAATATCCTTAACAAGAAGTTATTATAGGTAACAAAATCAAGCTATATTGTCAAGTTAAATAAACTTAGGAGTGTGGGTACTGCTTCTAAGAAATACTTTATATACCATGATGTATACAAATAGTTTATATACTTGATGAATCGAGGTCACGTTAATATATTGGACAGGACTAGGGTCTGGAAGCCTGATTTTAGTTACTCCTGTCAATAATCAGCTTGAGATTTTAGACATTTACTTGGTGTTTCTTGGCTTCCTCATCTAGAAAACGGGGAAATAAAAGGCACACAATATATATTTGTTGAATGAATATGGTAGGTAAAAATTCTGGAAACTGCAAAATCCTAAACAATGAAAACTATTCTTCACAGGCAGTTATTTCTGGGAAGAGGACACTCTTTTTTGGCTTTTTAAAAACAAGAATAAAAAATCATTTGGTGAATAAAAATTACCTTTCTCAAGGAGTTATTTTAAAAATTCTGAAACCTCAAGGCTGGGTTTCTTAAGAGGCAGAATCCCTAAATTAATCATCTAAACCAACATGATGACAATGATTATTTCAAGTATATTGAACTGACTAAAAAGTACATAAAGACTTCCGCCTCTAGCTGTATGTAGCTTAGAGCCGACCTCTGCTTCTGAGAACTAGAAAAGCAGATTTTAAACATACACAAACACACCTGTTAGAAGGCATCAAAGAGCTGCCAAGGCAGCCAAGAATTCATGCTTTTGCTGATTACTGGTGTAAAGAGGCTGAGAAGCCAAAGAGAGGACAAGAAAGGCTCCCAGCAGAACTTTAGGCAATCTCACAGAACTGGGGAGATAGAAAAATAGTGTTTGGAGCTGGCCAAGCAGCTAGGAATTGGGAGCCCAGGATCCCAGAAAGAAGGGACAGAGAAGTAAGCCTGACACTCAGCACTGACTTTTCACTCAGGGTATTTGCTAAGTAAGATGTTTAGGGCAAGGGCTAATTTTCCAAGCATAAAGTAGCTAAAAGCAGAGCAAACTTCAAAAGAAGAAACATCCCAGCTGTCAGATGCACTCATGGAAAACTACTTTTTAGGAATTAGGGGAAACTAGAAGTTGGAGTCTTACCAAGACTGCAAACCAGCCTTGAAGCCACTTGGTCCTGATTAGAGTGAGATGATCTTCCCCTCTGCTGCCTACCAGAACACCTTCTGAAATCCCCTCTAGAGGTAGATCCACATCCACAATTTTTTATACACAATGTCCAGCATTCACTCAAGTTTACTAGTCATACCAAGAACAGACAATAGAAACAAACCCACAGGTATTGTGGTTGTTTGACACAGACTTTAAAGTAACTGTGACAAGATGTTCCAAATATAGACAAGAATTACACCAGAGAACTGGAATCTACAAAAATGAGTCAAATAGAATATAACTGAAAATACAATAAATAAAGAACTCAGATGAATTTAACAGCAAATGTAGACAGAGCTAAAGAAAAGATTAATGAGCTGAAAGATAATTTTACAGAAAAAGTACATGATGGTCATCATCCTGAATAAGTATACCAACTTGTTTGGAATAATGATAAATTTGCTTTGCTGCTGTTTGTTTTAAACAGCAACCTATTTTATAGGTAAAATAGCACCCTGAATTTCAAGTTAGGATTTGGGTTCAGGTCATGACCTTTTCCTATTAGATAAGAGAATTCGGTAAAGCTAGTTCTCTCTCTAAACTTATTTCTTCCCTTGTAAAAGGATACAGGTTGGTCACAGGATTAAGAGAAAAAAAGCTATAACATCAAACTGTTCTATAAATACTGCACCTATGGCATAAGCTACTAATGGTCCTGAATATCCATTTTTTCCCCACTTCCTGCGCACATAGCCCGAGTAGAGATTACATTTCTGAGTATGTCAAGTATGCTCTGAAGAATATGCCTCAGTTCAAGTCAACAGGAGGGAAGCAGAAGTGACTTTATTCTAATCTCCTTTAACATATGACATTCAGCTTGTCCTGGACTTTGGTTCTTCCCTCTTTCAGCAGTTGAAATGCAGATGTAGCAGCAACCCAGTACAGACCATTCAAGCAAGTCAGCACCTAGAGGATGGCTGAACCTGGGACTGTGGATGACCTCATGGTGCACACCTGCCTTACCAGCTCAGATTGGCTGGAGTGTTGAGTAAGGGGAATAATGTTCCAGCTTATTCAGGCCACTGTGTATGAACATCTCTTTGTTACAGCAGCTGGGCCTTCACCCTGCTATTGCAGCGCAAAACAAATGTAAATTACCTATTAAAGGCAACAAAATTAAATTTTAGCAAAACTATTATCCTACCTGCAAACATACATGTGGAAAACTCCCAATTATAAGTAGCTTAGAGAAATGAGAATAACAGGAAAAAGTTACTGTCCCCCTTTCCCACTCCCTCCACAAAAGTGTTCTACTTCAAATACCTCCGGAGAAAAGAAGCATTAAAAAAAGATCTGAGTTCACTTATGTGGAAGTCATCGTTGACTTTAGAAGAAAGCTGCTAGAGAAGACAGATAGAAGCAGAAGACATATTTCAAATTAGGAAGGAACAAATAATGAGCAAAGAAAAGCAGCAGCTGTAGTCCAAGTATTTGACAAGTTAGGCTGCAAAGTAAATTTAATGAAACCCTTAGAAAGCATCCAGGAGTATGCTCAACGACTGTTGAAAGGTACTGTTTGTATTTGGTTTCCATTGGTGAGGATTCTCAACCATTTGAAAGCTGAGGCAAGGAAATCAGTAAAGATGGAAATATCAAAGATTCCAGAAAAGACACAGACTTGGGAAGACAGTATCTCGGAAGACAGAGGAACCCAAGCTCAAAGTGATTGGTAACACTGTCCTCAGACTGTTCTTGACCCTAAGCAACCAGAACTTCGGGAGTTGTTACTGTGCGGAGTCTCAGCAGGAGCACTCATAAACTAACCATGGCTGGACCCCTCCGAAGAAACATCTCTTAACAGTAATCAACCTCTGGAAGCCACTCCTAAAGCTGACCCACCTGCACCGGTTCAACTACAGCCCTGGGCCCCTGCATCCGTTTACACAGAAGTCAGCTTCTGACGACTGAAGTATTTTAAAAGCCAAACCTTACGGTACAGGGCTTCCCACACAGTTAATGCTCACAGGTGGAATCCTGCACCCCATTTAGGTTTTCTAATTATTTTGCTATCACCACAGCAGACATACTCTTTAAGTATGTTGCAGCAGTGAGGTTCCCTCCTGCCATCCTTTTAAGTGGACCCTGAGGGAAAATGGGAAGCAGTTGGGGGCAGAAATTTATGTAGTTGGGTGGAACTGCTGCTGCTGTGGAATGAGGAATAAGAATATCTTTCTTGTCGGGCCAGCCCAGTGGCGTAGTGGTTAAGTTAGTGCGCTTCGCTACGGTGGCCCGGGGTTCACGGGCCCGGATCCCGGGCATGGACCTACGCACCACTCATCAAGCTATGCTGTGGTGGCCTCCCACATAGAAAATAGAGGAAGATGGGCACAGATGTTAGCTCAGAGACAATCTTCCTCAAGCACAAAGAGGAAGATTGGCAACAGATGTTAGCTCAGGGCCAATCTTCCTTACCAAAAAAAAAAAAATCTTTCTTCTCGTCTAGGTTGAAAAGTCAGAGGGATGCTATTGAGTAAGTACTGATCAATATAAATCCTTTTTCCTTTTTTTGTTGTTAGAAAGCATCAGACATTGTACGATAATAGAAACATGAATAGACAAAGCCTGTGAATACAAGGAAATATTCAATGAAGTAGAAAACACTAGAAAAATGTAACATATTGAAAAATAAACACACATAGAGTTTAGCATCCATATTTTTTAAAACCACACCCTAAATACAAAGACTGTACAGATACATTTAATTTTATTATTTCCTCACAACAAATTCATTACGAAATGTTAAGTTGTACCCAATTATAAAGAATACACGTTTAAATTAGGTTTTGCTTTCTTCTTGTACTTCTCAGTTTCCTCTTTTTCTTCCCAAATACCGATCTGGCCGTCACCAGGGCTTGTTTTGTTTCCTCTCCATCGTCGTCACTGGAGCTGCTCGTGGTTGCACCTTCGCCCCTCCCAGGAACAGGTTTCGCTGTGTTCTGCAAACCTGAAGAACTGATTTTTGACTCTTGAGCTGCTCTTCCCCTCTGCATATCCATTAAAGATAAACCTTCAGCATCCTCACTTGAAGATGCCTCAGACGACTGTGAGAGGTAGGCCTCCCCCAAAAACCCACCACATTCATCCTCTTGTTTAGAATCTGAAAGCCTCTTTCTTTTCAGGCTTGACGATTCTTTCCATTTATTTGCTATGCTTCTCTTCTGGGTTCCTCCTTTTGCCTTATCAAGGAACTCAGATTCTTTCTCCACGGCAACAGAAACTGCTTCTATTTCACTGGCTGCTGCTTCTCTTTCTTTCCTCAGCATACACGTCACAGCTCTGTTAAGTCTCTGGCTCTTAACACCCTTAGCATCTTGTTTCTCGTGTTGAGCTAATCTAAAGAAAGAATCAATTCGGAGCTGTGTCTAGAAAATGAAATGAAATAATAATAAATCAGACAGGCACGTAAAGTTTCTATAGCAAATCAAAGAGCTCCACCTTGACCCACTGGCACTGGATTACTCTTTTGGAGAATACTAACTCATTGTCTCTCAAACGCCAATCTCTCCCAAATGAATTACTGACCGTAGATTTTACTTTCTAGATCATACTTAAAGCAGTTCTTGCACCACTTCTGTCAACTAAGTGCTCTGTCCACATCTCAAATAAGAAGTCCCTTCCTAGGTACTCAAACAGTTAAATATTTTTCAGTAACCAAATATATCATCATCTTTTGGTGCAACATAATTTCATGGGGTTCGTTTCTAAATTCCACTCCTTCCTTCTTTTAGAAACATTATCATCATGAGATACCTACAGGAGGCAACTTCACGGTATTATATATTAGGAGTCATAAGAAACAGTCAAGCCTTTTGTTCAGCAAATCTACTTTTAGGAAGACATTCTTAAAAAATATTTACATTTGGGAAGAGTTTTATGCCTAATGTTCATCACAGCATTATTTATGAAAACCTGAAAATTAAAGATTCACTAAGTGAACAGAACCAATTAAGTTAAACCTCTTTGATAAAATGTAATCTGGTTATTTGAAATTATGAAAACTATGCAATACACAGAAAAAAAACCTGGGCTGGACTTTGGTGGGAGGGGGGAGGGGAGTTAGACATATCAGGTTGCATTTATGTATGATAACAAATATATATGGGAAGGAGGGAGAAAATAAACCTAAATGTTAACATCTGTGTTCGAGAAAGTAGATAACAGGTAGTTTCAAATCATTTTTTTCACTTTACACTTTTGGGGAAACAAACATATATTAACTTCTACAATGAAAAAAGGGAAAAGTATTACAAGAAAATTGATCTGAAATTAAGGAGTCGTCAGTCACTAAGCCAACTAGCCTTCCTTGTCTGTTTGTGTCCGTTTCCAGTACAGAAAGTCAGCAAACAAACAAAGGGAAACTTGCTGGAAATGTCATCTACCTCACTTTTACTTACATTTTTTCAAAATTAACCAACCTAATGGAAATAGATTGAATTTAAATATATATCTTACAGGATATGGTCTCATTCCTGCTAAACAGTTTATTTGTATGTATGTTTTATGGGTTGTCTCTGGGGTACGAGGTTTCTGTGTGGTTAGGAACATACTCATGGATAAAGCAAGATGCGGTTACCTACACAGGGGAGCTAAGGGCCATACAAAGGCCTCTATATATAAAGGCCTCACTATAATGACTGAATTTCTACCTTTGATGCTTCATCTATAGAATTAAAGAGCGTTAGCACTTGAAGAGATTTTAATGATCAGAATTGCTTTGGATCGGACACTTCCTAGACGCGTTAAAAACGAAAATAACTCTGAAAGGGTAAAATATTTAACCAAAAACACCTTAGTGTGCAATCAATTATTAGATTGGTTTTTTCAAAGCCAGAATGAATCTAAATGACACCAAAGTCCAGCCCTAAGGGTGACGTTAGAAAATAAAGACAAAATCAAATTTTTCTCTTTTTCTGTTTTCCTCTGTTCTCTTACCTACAGTATAATAATTTTAAAATGCATGTATATGCCCTAAAATAAAAAAGTAATTAGTCTTTAATAGCCGCCACTCGCAGCCTTCCTAAGTTTACTCTTTATCCCGAACTGAGGAAAAGATCCGCCATGATTACCTGCTGGGCATTCAGTTGCTTTAGTACTGGAAATAGAGTCTCATCAGTCTTCATCCTGTTCCAGCCGAAATACCGCTGACAAAATATGCAGGTAGTTAAGACTTATACATGTTTTTAAAGACATTTAAACAAGTGATAAATAAAAAGGCCCCAAGAACCACCTTTGATTCCATTCCCCGTATCTCCAAAGATTTTCATATTATGTGGTAAAAGAAAAGAATAACAAAACAAATTACTCCAACATAATCATCTGGCACTATGTTCTTTTCAATATCCTTTAAGATAAAACATACCCAACTCTCATTTAGGACATCAAAGATTCGTGACTATGAAGAAAGGTGAACCTAGAAGAAGAACTAGTTTCAGATATCGTACATATTTGAGAGAAAAAAAAACTGCAGTTAGATTAATTCTATTGCGAACTTTTAAAGATCTACGCAAATGATTATTTAAATATACACAAATAAACATCAGTAATAAAAAGAACAAAACTAATAATCTTTTCTATTCTTTCAGAATAAGTAATACTTAAATATGTGATTGTATCTAAGAATGCTTTTCACTACTTATTTCAAATAAAGATCTTCTTTAAAACTAAGGAGATTACTCACAATAGCTAAAACATGGAAGCAACCCAAGTGTCTGTTGACAGATGAATGAATAAGCAAAATGTGGTATATGCATACAATGGAATATTATTCAGCCTTAAAAAGGAAGGGGATTCTGACACATGCTACAACATGGATGAACCTTGAGGAGTTTATGCTCAGTGAACTAAGCCAGTTACAAAATGACAAATATTGTATGATTTCATTTATATGCCGTACTTAGAATGCTGATGGCCAGGGGCTGGGATGAGTGGGAATGGGGAGTTATTGTTTAATGGATATAGAATTTCAGTTCTACAAGTTGAAAAGGGCTATGGGGATGGATGGTGGTAATGGCTGCATAACAATGTGTATGTATTTAATACTACTGAATTGTACACTTAAAATGGTTAAGAAGGTAAATTTCATGTATATTCTACCACAAAAAAAAAATCTAAGAAGAAAGAGAAGAGAACTAAAAAGGCACATCTTAGATAAATGGAATATTAAGAAAAAACTGATCCAAGATCATGTTCCATAAGTTTTAAACCAAATCACATATTTGGCTCAATGTTCCTTTATGTTTTAAGAAGTAAAAGGATATTCTCTAATTTTGTCAAGATCAGGTTTCCCCCAGAGAAATGATCCTTTGGAGTCATCCACCACAGGTTTGAGGTAAGCTTCTGCAACAGCCGGGTTAGGAAAGCCAGGTGTGAGCTGCAACTTGCGTAACTTTTTTTTCACTTTGGTGTCATAAGGATTAGGTCTTATCTTCTTATTTTTTTGAGCTTCATTCCACCACTCTCTATAAGGCAAAGCAAATAATTCTTTATAAAGCAATAAGACATAGTAGATGCACTGCAGACGAAGAGCTAAACTTAAGTAAGGAGACATAAACTCAAGTCCTAACTCCAAAACAAATTCTATGACCTAATACCAATTTTATATTTTTAGTATAGATACAATATTATAGATACATAGATATAACATTAACCACAATATTTAATGACGGCAAACAGGGAAAGCTTACCTTGCTGTGCTTGGCATTGCACTAGCTGTTCTACATGCCCAATCGTCACTTGAGCACAGTCCCATCACTGTCCTCACCTCACAGACGAGGAAACTGAACCCCAAGAGAGATCACTCGAGCAAGATTTCACAGCTGGGACAGAAAGTCAGAGCCTGATGACCTCCCTCCAGAGCCCACACTCAGAAAAATGCCACAACTTGTCTGGGTCTCTTTCTCAGTGGTAAAATGAAAGTAATATACCTGCATTATTTAACTCAAATCAAAAACAATAACGGACCCGAGAATATTTAATAGAACGTAAAAATGCCAAGAACATGTTAAATTTTTAAAAGGCAGGACATAACTCTATATCAAGTATAATCCCAATTTTGTAAAAAATGTATATAAATGGAGAAAGAGGAAAAGTAAACAGAGATATTTAAAATAATAAAAAAAAATAACAACTATTATTTTACTGTGTGCTGGGCAATGTTCCAAGTGAGAATACAACTGTTTATTTTCCTCTTTATATTTTTTTTCATTTTTCAATTTTTACATTATGAACATAAACTGTTATGGCAAGTTAAAGATAGCCACACATTAATTGACACTCCTCCCATCAAGAAGTCGGGTCCGTGTCCCCTGCCCGTGAGCTGCGTGGGCTCTGTGACTGAGGAAGTGACCCTGTGCCAGCCTTCAAGACTGCAGTTCCCACATCCTGTCTCTTGGCACATTTGCTTGGAAGCAGCCGACACGCGGTGAGGAAGCTCTAGTCGTGAAGAGGGTCCAAGGCCCACAGATGGAGAGGGTCCAAGGCCCCCGGCCCACAGTTCTGGCTGAGCTCCCGGCTGACTTGCCGGCCACGTGTGTGAGCCATCTCCAGTGGATCCTCTAGCTGCCCCTCTGACACACGCAGAACAAAGACGACACATCTCCACATGGTCTGACCAAACAGCAGATTCATGAACAAAATCAATGACTGTTGCTGTTTGAAGTCACTGAGGTTCAAGGTGGTTTGTAATGTGGCAAGAGATAACCAGAAAAATTTACACAATTAAGAAAAATGAATGGCATAAAAGTTAAAATCATAAATGTACCCCTCACCAATCAATGCATTCAACGGAACCTAAAAAAACCCTACGTGTCACGTTCGCTGCTTCACATACCTACTAGTATTAGGAACTGACTCAGATTTCCCGGCTCGGGCAGTGTCTCACTTCGTCGATGCTGGAGTGCCATCTAGCGTTAGAGAAGACTAACTGCAGTCTTCACCGTGGGACGAAAATGCAAAAAGGAAGAAAAGATCTTTCTTCATCAGTTTTACAATACTGTTTCCTAGAGTGCACTGGAAGAGTACCTCCCTACTCTCTTTTGAATTTTCATCTTGGAAATAGTAATCATGATTGCCAGCTGGGAGGACTGGCACAAAGCACTGTGAGTTCATCAAACCAAAAGGAGCACTCCTCCTTAAAGCAAGAGGGCCCAGCTCTTAATATAAAGATGAAAGATGACATCTGCCAATCAGCTTAGCTGTGGGGGACACAGTAGGGAGCGGTAGCGACTATGACAAAATTGAAGGCTTTGTGTCCTGGCCAAGTCAGTGGGGTAGAACTGCTGTTCTCCGCCTCATCTATTGTTGGGCTATTTGGGCATTTGGGCCCAATATTTTCAGATCTCATTTTCCCCCAAGAGAATCCAACATTTTCTGTGGAATAGCCCCAGTTTAAATGTTGGCAGCCAGTTCAAAATTAAAGCTCCACAGAAGAGGACAGTGTGTAGGCCAGACCACACACAGCTAGGTTGAACTCAGCCTGCAGGCCCAGAGTGGCTCCACCTTAAACGGGGGTAGCCAGCCAGAGTCTGCTTGGGAGGAGGAGGCACAGAAGAAGGCAAGGCGACAGTCGCAGTTTTACCACTCTCCTTGCTCTTTAGCCTGCTTTTGTCCTAACCCTCCCAAGCCAGGCAAGGCTGATCTCCTCCCACCTGCCGTCAACAAGCTGGAAGACCAAAGCAGAAATTGCTAACGCTGACTCTAAAAATGTAAACCATTCAACTGGCAAAAAACAAGCAAAAACTGTTAAAAGAAAAGAAAAATGGCATGAACAGGCCACTCACTAAATCATTAATGCAAATTGTCAACAAACATGGAAAAAAATTCACTCTCACTAATGATTAGGAAACCAAATTGAAAAGTTAGATACCATTTTCATTAATCCCAAAATAATAACAACCCAAAGATATAAATATATATGTATATGGACACTCAAATCAATGTTTGTTTATACTTTTAAAAAATAAAAATAACATTAGGCATTTAGTTAAATTAATTAATCATGATAAATTCAGAAAACTACTAGGAGGCATTAAAAACAATGATATAAATCTATACATTGCTGATAATATGCCTTGTTCTATCACCAAACTGATCACAGGTAACATAAAAAGTATATAGCATCATCCCACTCTTGTAAAAAAAAAAAATACACACACTTTTGAGTATACATGTGTATATATAATGTATATGAATATATATGTACATAGAAAAGTCTAAAATCACATAAACCAAAATGTTAACTGTAATCATCTTTTTTAATTCATATTTTATATTTCTATTATGTATTTACCTTATTACATGTATAATAAAGTCATTTGTAGTTTTTCAAGTTATTTACATACCATGATCAATGAGCTACCTAATAACTTACCTATAGTAAATAAATTTCCTCAACAATAAAAAAATTATGAAGAGAGATTAAAAAAGCATAAAATAAAATACATTAGTATGTATGCTAAGGCTGGAGGAGAGAAATCATTAAAACAATTTCACCCATGAATCAATGCAGCATTATTCACAACAGACAACATACTAAAACAACCTAAATGTCCATCAACAAATGAATAAAGAAAATGTGGTACAGTCATGCATCGCTTAACAACAGGGACATGTTCTAAGAAACGCATCATGAGGCGATTTTGTCGTCATGTGAACATCACAGAGTGCACTTACACAAACCTAGATGCTACAGACTACCACACACCTACGCTATATGGTACTAGTCTTATAGGACCACCGTCATATATCTGGTCCGTCCTTGACCAAAACATTGTTATTTGGTGCATGACTGTGTGTGTGTGTGTGTGTGGGTGTATACATAAAAGAATAACAACAGAATATTATTTTTAAAAAAGAAAGAAATCCTGCCATTTGCAACAACATGGATGAAGCTGGAGGACATTAGGCAAAGTAAAATAAGCCAGACACAGAAAGACAAATACTGCATGACTTCACTTATATGTGGAATCTGAAATAGTCAAACTCATAAAAGCAGAGAGTAGAACAGTGGTTGCCAGGGGCTAGAAGGTGGGGGACATGGGGAGATATTGGTCAAAGGGCATAAAGTTTCAGTTATGCAGTATGAATAAGTTCTGGAGATCTAATGTACAGTGACTATAATTAACATTATTGTATTACATACTTGAAATTTGCTAAGAGGGTAGATCTTAAGTGTTCTTACCACACACACAAAAATGCAACTATGTGAGGTGATGGATATGTTAACTAGCTTGACTGTGGTGATCATTTCACAATGTATACATATATCAAATCATCACATCGTACAGCTTAAATGTATATAATTTCTATTTGTCAATTATACCCCAATGAAGCTGAAAAAAAATTTTCATATTTAAGTTTTAATTCTAATCCCTGATTCTTCAGATCAGAACATCCCAGAATTTTTCAAACATATGAGATATAACTGGAGAGAACACTACAGAATCATTAAACCAACTGCTGCCAAATAGTATCTCATGACAAACTGATGGTTAAAAGATGCCATCACAACCCTGTGAATAGACTAAAAACCACTGAATTGTGCACTTTAAAAGTAAAATTTATGGTTTGTGAATTATATTTCAATTTAAAAAAAAAGATGCCATCAAGGGACAACCTTAAGAAAGAACTACTTGCACAGACGTACTCGCAACCATCACCATCTCAGAATCTCCAGAATTGAAAAGTGTACCCCAAGGATAGCACAGAGTATAGTACCCCACCAGGTTCTGGACGGAATGAGACCCCACTGCTGAATACACAACAGTATACACATAGTGAAGAAGAGGACGGGGAGCCTGATATAAAATTACTGGCATTATACTTCCATGACCCTCTCCGGCCAACCTCTTTCAGAACACTCGGCACACAGAAGCACAAGTGTGTGTTTGCTGCTCTGTCTCCCCCAACAGTGTGGGAGCTCATGGAGGGCATGGCCTACGACTTAGTCAACTCTCCTGTCCCAGCCTAGCACGTGTCTGACACAGAGCAGCTACTCAATAAATATCTGAATGAATGAAAAGGCAACTTCTACACTCCTGTGAAATCCCACAGGACTGGCTTTGTACCTCTGAACTAGGATAAGCCCGGTACCACCGGAAAAAAATTGTCTCTGATTTCATCAGCACTCTAGAAAAAAGAAAAAAAACTTCAGTAACCCCAACCAATACCTCCTCTTGCCTTCTCAACAAACAGTGATTTGTGACAGTTCATGATGTAAATAATAGTTCTGTTGTTAAATTGGGTATTTAGATCTGAATTAAAGAAATTAAGACAGAACTTACGAGAATTTTAGGAGAGGTTCCAGGCCATGTCCAGGGAATTCATTGAGAATTTCCATGGCTGTAACACAACCTACAGTTGGTATTCCTTCTGTATAATCACTTCCAAGCAAATAGGCCAAATTTATTAATTTGTTCCGGTCCAATCCTATAAGAGTAAAAATTACTACATATTTTTAAAATTTTTATTTTATTTTATAAACATTTACATCTACAAACATTTTATTATACTAAATTATATATATATGTACATATATCTTCTTCCAACATCCAAAGACATCTCTCTTTTACTATTTGAAATAGATTATTTTTTTTAAATGGCATTATGTTAGGATTTTTAAAGTTTCATCCATCCTCACAGCTTTAAATATCATCTAAACTCTGACCCTCAAATTTAGCTATCTAGCCCAGATCTCTCCTCTGAACCACAGTCACACATATTCAACTGTCACCTTAACATCTCCACTTGGATGCCTAATGCAGCTCAGACGTAACACATCCAAACCTAGATGTTCATTTCTCTCCTGCTCCACCGGCTCCTTCCCCAGTCTCCCTCATCTCATTAATGGCGAGTCCATTCTACCAGCTGCTCAGGACAAGGCATCATCCTTGATGTTCTCCTCCCTCACGTCACACACCCCGTCCACCCGCAAAGCCTTTCCACAGCACACCAGCCCTATTTGATTTTGGTCTCCTCCTTCCTCTCTGATGTTAACTCTGGCTGTTCTCCTCCTCATTCACACACCAGCCTCTGTATTCATTTTCTGGGGCTGCCATTACAAAGTACTCAGAGTAAGCAGCTTAGATAACACAGGAATTTATTTCCTCACAGTTCTGGAAGCTAAAAGTCTGAAATCAAGATGCTGGCAGCGTTGGTTTCTTCTGAGGCCTCTCTCTCTAGTTCTCGGATGGCCGTCTTCTGTGTCTTTACATGGTCTTCCCTCTTCCTTCTATGTCCTAATCTCCTCTTCTTGTGAAGACATCAAATTGGATTAGGGCCCACTCTAATGACCTCATTTAACCTTAGTCACCTCTTTAAAGATCCTATCCCCAAATACAGTCACATTCTGAGGTACTGGGTGTTAAGACTACAACATACGAATTTGGGAGAGACACAATTCAGCCCATAACCAACTCTTGCTTCCCTAGAACACACCAAGCTACTGCCTCAGGGCCTTTGCACTCTCTAGTCCCTTTGTCCAACATGCTCATCCCCAAGATATCTACAACACTTGCTTCCTCCTTTCTTTAGGCCCCAGCCCAAAAGTTACCTATTAGTACAGCCTTTCCTGACCACAGCTCTATGTAAAACACATACGCACGTCCTGTGACTGCAGGTTGCTCTCTCCTCTTTTACTGCTTTATTTTACTACATGGCACATACCACTAACTGTTGAATTATGATTTATGCATTTTTTACCATCTGTTTCTCCTACTAGACTGTTTTATTCCCTGCAGTTTCCCCACTGCCAAGATCAACTGGCTACAGGAATCACTCAGTATATATTTGTTGGATGAACGGGAGAACAAAGGATCACTGCCAGAAACACCAACACGGAGCCATGTGGCTCACGATTCCAGCAGGAGTGACTCCCACCTGCTCCCCGCTCAGCCACCTTTGGTTCACTCTGGAGATCCAGGCAACCTGTCAAAGTCTAACCAGGTCGATGATTAAACTGTAGAGAACATCTAAACATTACTAGGATTTTAATGACTTAATTCTAATTTAAAAATCCTATTCCTCTATATAAGCAAAAGATCACTTATATAAAAACTTGTATAGACCTACCATTTCCATTAATGCATCAAATTAGCTCCCTGGAAAGACAAAATTCAAGATACAAATTCCAAAGGTAAATTCCAGCAAGTATTCATACCCTGAAGTCTTACCTAACTGGTTGTGAAAATCCACATACTGGTAATATTCTACAAACTTGTTTTTATTAAAAAAGTTTTTATAGACATGCCGTGCTCCGAACAGCCAAATATCACTATCATCAGTGATTGTTCCAGAAGTTTGATCCGTCAGATCCAGAATGGCACACTGAGCCTCCGCTTCCATGGGAGCCTCGATGTAGGGAACGCCAAACAGGCGGAGAAGTTCCTGCAGAGTCACAGATACACAATGACGCCTACTGAATGCAGCACCAGGCCTTGACGGGGAAATGGGGGCAATGCTGAAACATTTCCCGTAACCCGTTGCCTCGGGGAATCTGAGTCAGTAAAAGTATCGGCAGGTATTGTCGACAGAGTCCCACGTTGGAAACACTTACCTGGCTCTCCAGGAACATCTGTCCTGTCACAGTCGCAGCAATCCGCTCTTGCTGCTCTTTCTGGGCTTTCAGTGAATTCTGTTGGACTAAAAGGTTGCTCTCCAGAGTTTCCAGTTCCTCCTATAAAATAATTTCATTCGTAGATAATTACATTAATAATCCAATTAAGTTCATTTGTTACAAAAAGCCTGCATTTAGTCTGGCTGAAATTACCAATAAGTTTTTTCTCCTTATGAAGTTTTCCACTTGGATTTCTGAGCAAGTCTGCAATATCTTTAGATTTAGTGAGTTAGCTCACTAAATCACATGGAAAGTGAAGACTAGCCCAGACAGCAACCTACATAAAAAAGGAGCCACCAGCAAGAACAACAAGATGCACGCAAACAGCTGATAAATATTCACCCGGTACCTCCTTAAAACTCAGAAGCTACTTAACGTAGCTTCCTTAGCAATAAATTAAAACACATATCACATCATTACCAAATTAATATCTTGCCATTCATTGAATGAATCCTCTGTATCTTTTTCGGTTTCTTCACGTGGCTCAATATCCAAGGCCTCGCTTTCAGAGTCATCTCTTGGGAGGTCCTCAGAGTCACCAGTGGCTTCTTCCTTCCTAGTTTCTATCAGTTCCTCTTCTCCTTGTCCAGAGGGAGGTTTGGAAGCTTCGTGTAACTCATCTTGAAGTTCATCATCACTAATTACACTCCGCACTTCAATGAAACTTCCTGTACCAAAATAATAAGGTCACTTTATCTACAACTGAGACATTAAAATTATCCTGAAATCATCAAGAGCTTTCGAAAGTATCCTGAAAAACATTTTACCCTATAAAGAAAAGATTTGAATGTAATAGAAAACATGTAACAGTAACATATTACTATTAAATAAATTTAATAACAAATGCCTATACCTTCAAAATAAGCCTTTCAATTAGATAAACTGGCACTGTCTTTGAAATTAGGAACCAAGCTTTTGAAGATTTGCAAGTTAGCTTTATACAAATATGTTCTCTAAGTTAACTAATATTGTTTTACAATTCAAAACAGAGAATTATCAGAGTATGAAAACAATCATGGAGGTTGTTAAATATGTTTTTATGCTATTTCACTATAAATATAGTGAAGAATAAAGCTATGACTTAGTGGAAAGAATTCTGGATAAGCACTCAGGAGAAACAGCTCTAAGAATCTTCCACTTTCCTTCTCTCCTCTCCTATGTTTCTTTTTTCTTTAAAAATTATTTATTGATTCCCTTCCTTCCCTCCAGATGGAGGGGGCTGGGTCTGAGGACACAATCAGGATGGAGGGGGCTAGGGAACTCAGGGCCCGGAGGCTGGGGCCAAGGAGACAGCTGGGGCCAAGGAGACCAGTGGGATCAAGAGACAGTTACAAATAGATAGAGGATAAGCAAATAAGCAAACATATTAAAGATAATGGAAGGTTTCTCACTGTTAGAAAGGGAAATTATAAAAAAGGTGGAGGCGAGAATGAAATCTATGATGTTAGTTCACCATGTGAACTTACGGATACATATGTACACACACACACAGAGAAATAAATATAGGTGTGCCTGCACGTGTTTGTGTGTGGATACACAAACATATTTCCTGGCTCTGTCCCTGAGAGGCTCCAAAGCAATGACAGCCCAATAACAGGGAGCACACTCAGTGCCCTGATCTTGGTTTCTAAACACCAAGCTCCATTACAAGGAACCAGGGCTCCTTGGTGAAATGGCTGGATCCAGGGACATGGCAGGGAAAGTATAAGATAACCTGGAACATCTTGACCAGAAAGTAAAGAAATACTCAAAATATAATGGGGAATTGTCAAGTCATGGGAGCCAGTTTGATGGGAGTCCCACTGGCCAGAGCTGGGACTATTTGGACAACAAAGTAAATTATGATAGTAGCATAACTCACTAAATAAAACAGTAATCCATGAGTTCACACTGATTAAAAAACAATAAGTGGGGGAGAAGGGAAAGATCTTCCTTAGAGTAGGATGCCAACCAATAAATATATAAGGAATAATGGAGTTAGAAAACCACCATTTGCAACCATCATAGCAATAATTTATTCAGGTAAAAATCATCAATGGATGCCAAAACAAGTGGGTGAAGGTTTGTTCAGGAACAGCATATCTACAAAGCCTCAAAAATTCCTTTCCGTCAAATATTTATTAATTACAAAGGGGAAATAGTAACTTTAGATTTGAGAACGTTGGCAGACACCAGGAAAAAAAATTAGCGTGTGTGTGTGGGTGTATCTGTGTACAGTCGATTCTTGTTATTCACAGTTATGTTCTATAAAGTCACTGCTAATACTAAATACATGAATACTGAATCATTGCTCCTTTTAGGAAATAAATTTGTAATCTTAAATCCTAAAAACAACCCATCTTGATAGATTCTATTTTCTTTACTTTACAAACAAGGAAATGAGGTTCAGGAGTGTTAAGAGACTTGCCTGAGGCCACCCCATTAACCCGTGGCAGAGTTGGGATTCAAACAACCACCAACTGGCCTCAGAGCTGGAGCTTCTTAGTCTACACTGCACTGCTCTCTCCTGTCTCCACCCTCCGGTCATCCCTGTAGGAGAGCTGAAACAAGAGGGCAGGATGTCACCTTGTTCATCCTCGGTGTGGCAATGCAAGTTTTTAGCCACTCTACGCATGCCTGTGAACGACCAAAAGACACTACCATGAATACTGATTCTGGAGTTACAAATAAATTTTAGTGAGTAAGCAATTTTGCAGATATGCAATCTGCAAATAATGAGGATCGACTGTAGCTAAGTGTGTACAGATACAGATATATAATACACATGTGTACATAGAGAGACAGACAGAAAGACAGAGAGAGATGATAAAGCAAATGTGGTAAAATGCTAACCACTGAAGTACTGGGTGAAGGAACCAGAATATTTTGTAATAGTCTTTCAACTTTTTTAAGTTTGTAATAGTTTAAAAAATAAACACTTAAAAAAATTAAAGGGAAACTCACCTTTACCTTCTCCAACTGGGGCACTACCTTCCTTTAAAAACAACAAGAAAAAGAATAGTGGGGCCGGCCCAGCGGCGCAAGCAGTTAAGTGCGCGTGCTCCACTTTGGCAGCCTGGGATTCACAGGTTCGGATCCCGGGCGTGCACCGACGCACTGCATGGTAAGCCACGCTGTGGTGGCGTCCCATATCAAGTAGAGGAAAATGGGCATGGATGTTAGCTCAGGGCCAGTCTTCCTCAAGAAAAAAGGGGAGGATTGGCATCGGATGTTAGCTCAGGGCTAGTCCTCCTCACAAAAAAAAAAAACAGAACTAAAGAAAAAGAATAGCCAAACAGAAAAGGTCAAGAGTCCATCGCTAGCTGTGTGTCCTTGGGAAAGTCATTTCACCTTTCTGGGTCTCAGTTCATCATCCATACAAAGTGTGGACTAAAGGATCCCTGGGCTCCTGCACGTGTGCAATCCTATCTTTCTTTGTCTCTAGAAAGCACAAACACCTACCATCAGATTCACTTTCTTCAGAGTCAGTTTCCACTGGTTCCATGGATTCTGGAACTGAAATTAAATCCTGGCCTGCAGATTCCATTGCCTCATGTTCTTGGATGGCTTTCGGGAAACTTTCGTGCTCTTTCACATTAAACGATACCGCGTTTTCTAAGTTACCTACTGCCTCTGAAGGGACACTTGGTGTGTTACTTGCTTCTTGCAAACCGACAGCGCCAAAGACTTCAGAAGTAGGATTTTTTTTGCATTCTGTTTCATCATCACTTGAAAGAACAGAGGAATCAAATTTACTCTCAGATGGACGAAGATCTTGTTGTGGCTCAAGTGCTCTGGTACGTGTTTCATTCCTGGATACAGAACTTGCACTTGTCAGAGGTGTCAGTGTCAGTTCTCTTCCACTCTGGAGCCCAGGTACATTCCTGTGTATCACCTCTGTGCTTTCTAAAGGAACTGGATCTTTTCTATCCTTAACCATAGACTCATCACTTGTGTGAAAGGCTTCGTTCACTGTGGGAATAAATGACGTTTGTTCTTTTAGAACGTTAGATGCACTGCCTTGACAAAGGATAGTCCTTGATAAATGAGCCGAGTCTGTCGGCTCTTTTGCATTATTAGTGCTGGTTACACGCTCCTCTACAAAGTTCACACTGGTTGAATGAGGTACTGTTGTCAACAGCATTTCTTTTCCACCTCTCACGTTAAGTCCTTCATCAGTCTCCTCATCAGAACTGTTCATAAGCAGTTTATTCGCTTCCGAGCCCCCTGTCTGTAAATTGTTCCCAGAATGCACCTTCACGTCTTCATCATCCTCAAGAGCTTTCTGAATCACTAAGAGAGTCCGAGGTGATACGGAGCCTGGCTCTACAGTAGCAGGTGCATTCTTCTCCTTGTACTGCCTTTGAGTCTCACTCTCCAACTCCTCTTCTGAGCCACTTCCCAGCATGGCAGCTTGCATGGCCAGCACCGTTCTTGGAGAAGGAGGAGCAGCATCAGGCTCTTTCTCGGGCTTAGGTTTTTCACATGGAGACAACTTCATGTCAGAAGACATGCTATGCATTTTGCTGGAAGAAGGAAGAGACTCTGAGTCCACTTCTGCAACTGCCTTAACTTGAATACCTTAAGAAAAATTAAAACATTTCTCACTACACAGTTTTACAGTGTGGTAATATACTTTAGTAAGATGAATAAGAGAATACTGGTTCTCAGTGGGTTGGTATGATAGTAGTTAATCAATTAACACCGATATAAATTTATTATTACATAAGTAAGACTTCATTAACATTATCCAGGGGTGTTAGGTTACAGAATTCAGAGACACAATATATTTTTGGTTTTTAACCACCAAATAAGTGACGGTGCCCAATACCTTTTATCAAGATGTAATGTGAAGTGTCTTCAGAGACCACTCTCCTTGACTCTACCTCCTTCAAAAAGCCCCCTTCATCTTCATACTGCCTTTGAATTTGTCCTGAATGCTGCTGATTCATTTCCTTTTGGACATTTTCTATGCGTTGGTTTAGATAGTTTTTTTTAAGCAAACCTTTAAGCTGGTACTGTGAAAAGTCATTGGACTCCTAAAGCAAAATAAATAAATGATTTTTTTAATACTAAATACAGATAATATTCCCATATTTCCATCCCTTTCCCCAAAAGCGGACAAAGAGTAATTGTTTTTTTCCATTGGTGGTATTTTCATATTATAAAAGTAAAATTTGAATACTAAGAAAAAACTATAACTGCCTTGTTAAAGAATAATCTTTAAAACAAAAAGAATTGGGCAAAAGAAAAGAAATCATGGATACTATTTATGATTTAATCATTTACTCAAAAAACATTCATTGAGCATGTAATGCATGCCAGGCAGTGTGACCCTTTGATTACAGCTTAACAGATAGACAACCTTCCAGAATACAAATAAATATGAAAATAAAGTGCCTAGCACAGTCCTTGGCCCATAAAAGACACACAGGAAATCATATCAATCACAGTTATTAATAATAATAGTTAACATTTATAAAGCATTTCCTGTGTAAGGCATTCTTCTAAAGTGCTTTTATATATATTACCCCATTTTATTCTCAACCGTCCTATGAGACAGATGTCATTATCCCCATTCTACAGATGAAGAAACTGAGACTTAAACAGGTTAGGTAACTTCCCGAGAGTTGCATGGCTAGTAAGCAGTAGATCTGCAATCAAAAGCGGGTTGCTAACCTTTATAGTATATTGCTTCTATCACTATGATGATGATTATTACTATTGTGATTATTTACCATCACTACTATCAATATTGCATTTGCCCAATGTACAGATGATACAAAGAGCCAACCTGGATGACTTAGAACTTCCCTTCTCATCAGAGTCACAGATCCATGAGCTGCCATGCCATACCACCCTACTCTACTGATACCAGAGGTTCCATGGTGACAGAAAGAGAATAAAGTGGAGCAAACTATTAGGGACTATCTCTCTTCTGCCCATTCCTTCCTCCACTGTTGTTTACATATTCCAAATTCTATTTCCTAAATGACCAGCCAGAGATCTTTCCACACTTAAGAAATAAAATCCTTGAGAGATAGACTGAGCCTGGATTTTTCCCCTGAAATGAAAATAAATTTCATTCTGTCCTTTGTATATCATTCCTGTGCACCTTAGTATTTTCCTATGTTCACATTCTTTGTGGAAAAACAGAAAAGAGTGATGGGAAATGAAATATTTCCTGCCTTCTTCATATTTTTGGTACCAATTTAAGAAACAGTCAGAAGTCTGTAGAAAAAAAAATACTACATCCATTCATTAGGAATAATAACGCTGCAAAATTTATATTCCGTCCTACAGTGAATTAAGGAGAACAGTGTTGGAAATAATAGGTGGCAGCAGTAACACGGGAAATAAAAGTCATTCACCAACTAGAGACAGTAGTAACGGCATAGCATGGTCAGGAGACACGCTCGACAAAACCCAACCCAACTCCGCACACCTGCCGGCTCCGGCTTTCTGTGGCTGTGGGGCCACCACCAGATGCTCCACACTGAGGAGTTTACCATTAAATTCCCTATTACCACTATCCAGAAAGAGGGAGAGGGAGATGGAGATCCAACTGCATTTCTAGGCCTGCAGCAGAGGAAGAGATACCTGGAATTTCAAGTTAGAAGATACTTCTCCATTGTGATTAGATTCTATATTACTATTTGTATTCTACAGACAATGTATATTAGGGGTTAAATTAACTTTTATGAACTAAACTAAAAACTGAACCACTAAGCATACACAGGACACTTATTATGTGAAAGATACTGAGCCAAGTACTGAAAATACAGAGGTGAGCAAGTTGGCACATCTGGGTGCTAAGAACCATAAAGAGACATTACAGGTGCTATGAGAATACAGAACAGAAGACAAGACCTGGTCTTGGGTGGGAAACCAAGAAAGGCTTCTTTGAGTAAGTATTTATAAGTTCAAACATAAATATATGATGCTTCATAGGATCTCTGAAATACACAAATGCTGTTTACCGGAAACGGATATTGTGTAAGTAATGCTTATCAATTTTCTCTTTTTCTAATGAAAAATTTTGCTGAAGTTCTTAATTCTAAGCACTAAGGTGCTATTGTATATTTTACCTCTGGCATTGCTTCAAATAATGTTCTTCTTCGCTTGGTAAATTCTTTCATGTCAGTCAAGATTTCATGCTTTATTTCCAGGGGCAAGCTGTTGAAGTCTTCAGACTCAATATCTACTGCGTGAGGATTGTGAAAGAACTCTTCCTGGAACGAGCACAACGTAACACCATGAAATTTACATTTCATACACTTAATTCTATTTATCACGACAGATGTTTTTTGTGCCTATATCATAAACAGAGTTCTACATAATCTACAATAGGCTAAACACAGTTGTACACAATGTGCAATAGGCATCAAAGTGAACAGGCAGATTAGGGACTGTATCCATTCACTCACTCATTCATTCAAAAGACAAATTACTTACCAGGCACCCCTAACACGCCAGGCACTGTTCTAGGTGCTAGCGTACTGTGGAGATCATGCCAAATAAGGTCTTTACTCTTAGGAGTGGAGGAAGACATATGATAAACAAATAAATGAACAAGACAAGGATGAGAAAATAAAGCAGGTTAATCTGATAACAGAATTGATTAGGAGAATAGGAAGAAAAAAAAATTTTACTTGATAGATAGAGAAGACCCCACTAGAAAACTGACCTGTGAGACATGAAAGACACCAAAAAGCCTGATCAGGGACAAAGCATCCCAGGCTGTGGGAACAGCAAGAGCAAAGACCCTGAGGCAGGAATGAGCCATATGAATTTGAACAATATTTATAATTCCCTTATTATTATAGGTTAGTTTTATTTTGATCTTAACCTAAAATCAAAAGTGAAATTAAAAGTGAGAAATTTCACAGACATGGAAAAGTGTAAAACTTTTCTTTTAACTAATTACCAAAGAACTTTAACCTCTTCATCAATAAAGAAGATAAATAACACAATTTGCTTTCCTGTGTGTAGGTATGTATGTATGTTGCGTGCGTATGTGCAAACCAGCCAGCACTTAGAATAGGCCAGTCATGCTCAGAGCTTCCTATGCCTTCCCTCACTATGAGGAAGGCATTGATATTATTTTTGTTTTACAAAAAAAAGAAAAGAAAGCCTTGGAGAAGTTCATTTGTCTAAGATCACACAGCTAGTGAACAGTAGAGCCTGGACTTGAATGCAGCTCTTTCCGACCATGAGGTCCATAGTCTTCACAAAGACTGCTGTCACTTGCTGCATTAATAATGCAGAACCTCCAAGAGTTGAAGGATCCTGAGGTTTTAGCTCAAAGGTCTTCTACCAGATATACCCAAATAATATGAACATACAAGAAACACTGAACTTGGGAATAAAGGAATGTTATCTGCTATTCTAAGAAATTTGCAAAAAATTTTAAAAACTTGTATATACAGTACAACCCCAATTTGTAAAAATGTTATTCATTAAAATATGTGTGGTAGTAGTTTTATAATATGTCCACAGGTTCTCAGACCCTCTTCTTGTCTAATTCCCCTCCCCTTAAATAGGGGTTGGCCTTAATTAGCTTCTAACGAACAGAACATGGGGAAGGGAGGCTGCACAACTTCCAAAGCTCGCTAGAAAAGGCAACAAAGTTCTTGCCTGGCACTTCCTCTTGGAACACAGTGTCACACTGTGAATGAGTCCAGGCCACATAGAGAGGCCACAGGCAGGTGTTCTGGCAGACAGCCAGCATCAACTGCCAGATATATGAGTGAGGAAGCCCCTCAAAAGGGGACTCCAGCCCCAGCTACAGTCTTTCTGCTGACTGCATCTACATGGGAGACGCTGAGAGAGAACTGACTCTCTGAGCTCAACAACCCCCAGAACTGTAAAAGATGATGATAATAAGTGACCGACTGCACACCACTAAGTTACACAGCAATACATAACTGGAATATATGCACAGACATGCAACTACACATATATATGTAGATAGGTACATCTGATACATATACACATACCCAAACACACACACACACACGTATCCAACTATAAGGGGTTGGGGGAAGAATGGACTGATATATACCATGTTACTATTAGTTACTTATGGGTGGTATGTTTTCTATATTTTCACACAAGCTGTATTACTATTTATATTTACTTATTGGTTGGTTGATTGGTGGGTTGGAAAAGAAAGACGGCTTATTTTGGATATCTAGATATACGTAATTCCATATACACGTGTATGGGTACATGTGTATTTCATATATACATATAAATACGTGCACACGTATATAACAAACACAATAAGAAGACATCTGTCTTTGTTTTTTATCAGGAAATTCCAGAAATTCATACTACCTCATTTAAATTATTCATTGTCATGTCATTCACTTCAAATAATAGAATAAATTCTGAATTCAAATATTATTTAAATACCTGTAATGCTTGTTTTTGACTCATTCTTTCTTGCCATTCTTTTTCATCTTCCTCTTCTGAACTGCAAGTCAAGCACACATTTATAATGTCTGTGATTTAATGACTACTTACAAAATATTTCTTGAGTGCAAGATGCTGGTAGTTATAAGGGCTGCAATGGTGTATAAGACGGCAACATACGTGCCATCATTGTTCTTACAGTCTGGTGGGGACACGTGTAGTGAGCAGTTACAATATGATCTAATAGTTTCCATCACAAAGGAAGAGCAGGCTGCTAAAGGTGCAATAAGGAGAATTACCTCACCCCAATCTGGGGGGTCCTGAAAGCTTTCTGGAATCTCCTGCAGTTACACTGCTTGGACTTAGCCACAAATAAGTGAGAGGTCTAGGGTATGGGGAAAGTTCATCGAGAAAAGTGTTCCAGGCAGAAGAACTAAGTTCTACAAACATCTGGAAAGAAGGAAAAGAAAGCCTGCCAGTGGATGTTGTGAACAGGGCAAGTGATGAGGTTGGAGAAGCCTGTGGTTAAGGGGATGAAGTTTTATCCTAGAGAAACGAGAAGCTAGAAAGTGTTTCAAGCAAGGAAATGACAATCTCAGATTTGGGTTTTAATAGATTCTACACTACAAAGCAGAGATAGGGCTTGGCAGGGAGGGATTACTGCTAAAGGGTAAGATCACAGATGAGACAGAGAAAGAGCCTGGAAGCCATTACAGTAACCTAGAGACACGATGATGCAGGCAGCGATGAAGACAGAGAGAACTGCTGATTCAAAAGCTATTCAGTCTCTCAGGAGCCCCTGGAAAGGGAATGGGGGCAGGTGGGGGACAGAGACAAACTGTCTGACCCTCCACCTCCACTTCAATCACAGAAGCCACTGACGATTAACAGCCAGCCCGAGGAAGAGTGCACAGAGGAGCCTCAGAAAGAGTGGCCAGAGAGGTTCCAAGACAGCAGGACAGCCCAGGTGGACACTGTTGTTAAATGCGGCCAAGAAGTCCAGTAAGCTGAGGGCTGCCGACAACTGCAAAGCCTCTACTGGATTTAGCCAGGAGGAGTGGCGTGTGGTCTTTTAGTGTGCTGGTGTGAGAGCTGAGAAGTAGGCAGAGAAAGCATGTGTCAGAAAAACTAAAATTCATGTCGTCGTGAATTATAGATCAACAGTGCCAGCACAGGCTCTACAGAATGAAAAAGAAACAAACCATCACAAACCACCAAAACACAAGTTAGTAAATAAAAAGTTTAGTCTTTAAAAAATATTCTGAAAGGTGTCAAGAATACATATTTCAGATGTGTTAATTTCCACATGCCTTATCATGTAGATAAAACATAAAGGTTTAAATCTGTCTGAATACAGCAATAATTAATATCTTTAAATAGTTAAACATTTACCTATTTTTTTCTTGCTCTTGTAAAGGCGGCAAAACATAGATGTCATCCTCTCTTTGAACTTGAGTAAGACTGGGTAGCGCTTCATCTCTGAAAAGTACACATGGACTTAAACAGAGATGATAGGAAATAGTAGTCTGAACCAATAATACTCCCCCATTGCTTACACAAACCCTACTGAGCAGGTGAGAAGAGGGAAAACACAGGGGCAATGGATGTGCCCCTGCCGACCCGCCTGCCCAGGCCACTGCTGCGGGAAGTAAGTGCAGCCTCGAGAAATAGGAAACCCCTCAGAGCCTCGGCCACAGCCTCAACTGCAGGCACCCAGCAGGGAGTTATAAAAGTAAAACGCGCATGCAATGCAACTCTACAGCTTTTCTTCCCCATTCTTCTCACGGGACAGGATTTTCACAACTTTAAATTACTAGGTCAAATGGACATCCCACTTATTCCTCTCATTCCACCCTCTATCTTCTGCTGAGAGTTAGATTAGGGAAAGGGAACCACAGGAATACAAGGCAAAAATTAAAAACTTTTAAATTAATCTTTAAAATTTATGTAACTTCTTTCCCTCTTGCCTTTTGCTTTTTAAGGCACTTTTAATAGCTTGTCTTTTCAAAAATGTTTTCAAAAGCTTCTCTGTAGTCTTTTTGGAGTCACTGGTTGCCAAATCCTTTCTCTGCCTTCTCTTAGCCTGTGAAAAGAAAGGATGTAAGATTTTACTTCAGGGTGTTAGTATATTAAAAACACTTCTGTGATTTTTTTCCATAGAATTCGGTTTGTCTAAGCTTTCAGACCATGGCTGTTTTAGTATTTCCTCCTAATTGCTGTCTCATTGAGTATCTTCAGGTTTCTGCTATATAAAGGATACTCAGAGTTTCCATCTATTACCTAATAGGCTGGCTATTCTACAATATATTTGGGAAACTATTTATTTACTTTGTTTCTTTTAAATGTCTTTTAATGTCCCCAAGAAGCCTAAAGCTTAATGATATATAATTAAGTAAATGCTTCCCAATAGGGATTATTATATTAACTAATTTATTCTTTAAATGTCACTGTTATGCTAAAACCAATTTCTGATACCGGTTTTTATAAGAATACATTACTTATATGTAACTCTGTCCTTCAACATTCAAGAGTATGTCATAAGAAATCCTAAAATGTATAGAAATATCTTATAAGCAATGTCCAAGTAGGGAAAAGTGGAATAGTCTCTGTGTTTATGGTTGAATATAAGGCAGAAATACCAAAACATCTTCTTTTTCTTTCTAATCCTTCCCAAAAGGTACAGTACTTGATATACAGCACGCCTTGGATAATTAAAAACCGCAACATTCACGTCTAGACCTTTAACGAGGCTACGATGTCCCAGGCATTTACAAATCCTTACTTGTACCCTATGTCCTCACTTAATTAGACAGCTTCTGTCTGGTACAATGATAAAGTGAGGAGCTGGCATTTTCACATATAAAAGTCATCTATCCAAATGGGTGCTGTCATTCGGGGTGTACACAATTATTCCAAAGTTCACAACATTGTTCAAACATTGTTTTAAGCTACTTTCAGAATAAAGAAACTCATTCTCATTCTTTTGTATCCTGTCCTATTTCCTTCCTTGGTAATGCACTTTAGCCACGCTTGGCCCCTCATAACATTCTTACTCCTGAAATCCATTTCGCCTTTAAAAGAAGGCTTGCTATCCCTGGGGGTCCGTGAGCTCAGGCTCAGGGAGGCGTTTCCCCAGTAGGTTTTCTATGACGCTGAG